CTGTGGAGTTAATTGGACTGCCACGCCCTGTGACTCACCTATAATACGGTGTATCATGCAACACCCGGCATTCATCTCCCAGGTCCTCACTCATCACTGGGGTCAGCACTCAGGGTTCTTTTTAAACATACTTCTCTTGCTTTTAATAACTACAAATAAAAACAAAATCAAGAGCAGGGCCCCTCGCCTAGAGAAGGCTGGAATTCAATGGGAACTTGAGTTTTTAATTCAAGAGAAACGGTTTCCTTTGATCTCGCACCCTTCTTTCAGAAATGGTGACAATGAAGATTAAAGTCTTTTCTGGAGGGCTTTTAAGAGCGCTGCGTGCATTTTGCAACCGACAGAGTTCAAGCAAGGATACGGGCAAGCTTTCCTGCTTGGGGAGGAAGGAGCTTACAACACCCTTCCTTCCAAGCTGTGGTCAAAATGCCCTTTGACCTGCACTGACTTTCCCTGTGCCTTTGGCGGGGATTCCTTCCAGGGCCTCCTACTGAGGGAACCTCCCGGCCTGTATTTTTCCTCGGTGTGTTAGCCTTTCGGGCACACTGGAGTGTGTGCCTCATGGCTTGTTACAGAAAGATTCCTCCGAGAGAGAGTCCTGTTGCACGGCGGTGTGGGAGGAAGAAGTCCTGTTGGTGTGGACACTGCTTTGCCCAGTGCTGGGCTGGCACCCGTGTCTGTTTCACAGTGCTTTGTACCTTCCATTTGCTTGCTGTATACAACCGTTTTCCTAAGCTCTTAGGTATAGACAGAATGTATTCTTTCACTATCCTCTGATGCTATAACATCACTATATAACATGCACACATTTTACTTCACATTTTAGTCTTTGCAAAAGTTTTTTTTTTTTTCTTTTAAAACGTTTACTTGAAGAGTTACAAACGAGAAGAAGGGGTGAGAGAGAGATCTTTCACCTGTTAGTTTGCTCCCCAAAGGCTGCAGTGGCAAGAGGTGGAGCCAGGGGTGAAACCAGGAACTTCATTCAAGTCTCCCCTTGACCGGCAGAGGCCCAAGTGCTTGGGCCATCCTTTGCTGCGTTCCTAGCTGCCTTAGCAAGGAGCTGGAATGGAAGTGGAGAGACTGAGAAACGCAAGTCCCAGTGCGCACATGGGATGTGAGTATTCCTGGCTGGGGTTTTACCTGTGGCACCACAACAGCAGCTGCCCCCCAATTTTTTTTTTAAAGATTTATTTATTTTTATTGGAAAGGCAGATTTTCAGAGAGGAGATGCAGAGAAAACGCTTTTCCATCTGCTGGTTCATTCCCCAAGTGGCCACAACAGCCAGAGCTGAGCTGATCTGAAAGCAGGCACTTCTTCTGGGTCTCCCATGTGGGTGCAGGGTCCCAAGGCTTTGACCCATCCTCAATTGCTTTCCCAGGCCACAGGTAGGGAACTGGATTGGAAGCAAAGCAGCCAGGACACAAACTGGCACCCGTATGGGATCCCGGAGCATGCAACGTGAAGATTTAGTCACTGGGCCACTGCGCTGGGCTCCTCCCCACTGCCCAGTTTTTTAAAACACAAGTAGAATATGACATTGCTGTATAGATACCTAACGGTTATAGGAGAACCTTTTAAATTTGTTTAGCTTACATATTTTTTATGGTTAACAACTTCTCTAATAATTTTGAAATCAAGGTTGTCCTAAACAAACCATGGTCACATACACACACACATATATATATGTGATATGTAGCCACCACCACATTGTAGTGATAATGACACTGGCTTTGCTTGAGGTGGAGAGCTTTTCTATAAGTTATTCTTCGACCATTATGGAAGCTCTTTAAGAAAACCAAAGGCTTAGGGGCCACAAAAGAGCAAGGAATATAGGAAGGACCTGGAATCTGAAGCCTGATTTCTGACCATGGAGTTCCAGGGGACACCCGACCTGTAACGTTTCACAGTTCCCTGAGCATCATGGGATGTGGGCACGATCATGCAGCAATGAGTTTACAGGGATAGATATTGGGGAACCATGATTTGGTCGTAATTCTGCTGCTTATAGTGAGGTGATCCTGGGCAAATTTCTCCGTCTCACTTTTTAAAAAAAAAGAAGTAATTATTTTTATTTGAAAGGTGGATTTGCAGAGAAAGAATGAGGGATCCCTTCCACCTGCTGGCTCACTTCCCAAATAGCTACAACAGCTGGAGCTGGGCAGATCCAAAGCCAGGAGCGTGGAACTTCTTCCATGTCTTCCACGTGGCTACAGGGACCAAAGTCTTGGGCCATTCGCCACTGATTTCCCAGGTAGCTTAGCAGGAAAGTGGGCCAGAATTGGAGCATCCAGGACTCAAACGGAGGCCAATATGGGATGCTAGTGCCACAGTTGGATGCTTAGCCTACTGTGCCACAGTGCCACTTTCTCTGAATAAATCTTTCTATTCAGCTAACGTTTTCATTTATAGTTTAAGAGCTCAGATGAGACTTGTATTGTCAACAGGGCAGGCTCCATGCAGGTGTTTCTAGGGTTTTGCAAATGCCTGGCTGATCTCTCAGAGGGGGAGGCTGATCTTTGACTCAACAATCTTTCTTAACTCCTGTTTTCAAATTCTGGAATTCACCTACATGACATATTATTTCAAATGTTACAAATGTGAACTGGAAATATATCGTAGGAGAAACCTACTGGGCAGAACCCACACAAAGATGTTGAAAATTAGTTTTGCAATCTTAACCCCTCACCTATTTTGGAATGCAAGATTAAAGTGGAAGAGGCCAAGAATGGTCAGAGATGGAGAGATTTTCAGGCCTTCTGAGAGTCATCAGTGTGCTGCTAGTGTCCTTCACTCACAACCCAGGAGACCACTCGGGGGCCTTGGTTCCCCTGCAGGTGGGGGGAACCAGTGGTCCAGCATCGAATGCCTTGTCGAGTGAGCAGAACAGAGGCTGTGCGTGTGAGAGGAAGACGGTGTGTCAGGAGGCAGGCGCACACCCCTCACTGATGCATTGGAGCTGTGTGCTGCTGTGGCCTCACACGGTCTGAGACAGAGAAGGAGCTAGCTTGGGTTGCCTAATTCCACCTCACAGACACAAGACCAGGAGATTGCAACAGAAAGAGACTGGAGGTAGGGGCTTCCGGATGAGTCACCTGCTTCAAGACATTCACTTCGATGTTGCCAGAACAGGCTTGGAAGTCCGAAGATGTGAGGGTCTCAACAAAACCCATGAAAACCCCATAGGAGAAAAAGCCAACATTTTGCAACCTGCCAGCCCCAGAGAGCCCCAAATGCTTCCCCACAGCAGCCCAGTCTGGGAAAGCTTTTCTTGTCCTTCCTCCCCTTTCTTCTGACCTTTCAGTCCAGCAGGTGCAGAGCAACTCCAGGCACTAATTAGAATACAACTGAGGAAGGTGCTAATCTAGAGGGTGAGCAGCTAAAGCCCCTCCCCGGTGCCAGAGTAGCCCGAGGCACGGTCCTGCTGGAGGAGGGGCTAAGCCTGGAGTTAACTCATCACAGGATAGCCAAACTGAAACTCTTTGAAGGTATCCAGTGAGCAACCGACTTTCTTCTTTCTCTCTCAGATCTTGGAGGGATCAGAAAAGGCTGGCACGAAGTCGCCTCCAAAAGAAGAGGTACATTGGCCTCAAAGGGTGAGCACATGCAGGGTCAGTGGGGCAGAAATACACAGCTACTTCCTGTTGTGTTCATGGGTCCTGAATATTGAATATGAGATTGCGCACACTAAAAAAATATTACTTCTCTTTGTTCCAAGAAGTTGATTTGACGAAGTGTTCAATTTCAAATGCATGAAAACCACTGGATGTGGAAGACCACTTCTAACACTGGCACTGGGTAGCAGTTACTGCAGAGTGGGGAAACAGCAGACCACTCCTTCCCGCCCCTCATCGTGTGCTTGTCCCTTTAGGAACTGAAATCCTTTCCCTCTTCACAAAGAGGAAGCAAAAGTGTGTTCCCGGTAAGCCATACCTGTCCACCTGCCCCCTGCCTCCCTTCCCTCACATCCCCAACAATAATAAATAGAAGGCTGGATTAGGGGTAAAATAGAAGAAGAAATAAAGAACGTGGGAGGAGGGAGTAATCAAAATGAGGTTCAGGAATAGAAAGGGAAAGCGGAAGTGTAGAGAAGAGGTGAGTGTGGGCACAGAACAGCCTTGCTGATCAGGAGGGGGAGGGGAAAGAGGCCGGGGAGGGAGCCCGGGCCGCCTCTCCATTTGTTGCCGCTCAGCCCTGCCGCCTTCTCCAGGAACACCTGACCTTCACCGCTGCCAAGCGTCCTCCGGCTTTGTGCCAAGGCACTGGCGCTCACCTACTTTTGCCCCTATCAGCGCACATAGAGACTGACTTCCCCCTGGAGCTCTTATCAAGGTCTCCTCCTGGAAGCTTGTTCTGGTAGCCTGGAAACCTGGCAAACAAGGCTCAACTGCTCCGCGGCCCCTCTTGGTTAGTATCCGTTGTGTTTGCTGTCAAGTCCTAATGTCCTTTTATGTGAAAGCAAACATGGCAATAGGATGGAGCTGAGTGTAAAATTCATATGAATATCAAATGCGTCAGGACGCTCGAGATCAATGTTGGGCTTAAACTCCTTCGGGCTATGTTCATACAGGTCCTTAGAGCTGTTCTTCCTTCTCTATGATTAGGGAGGAATTTTCCTGGAAATTCATGAGAGACGTTGGCCCACCTTGTTTGTTTTCACTGGGGTAGCCATTTTGAGCACCAGATCAACATAAATTATTGCAGAACCAAAGCAGTGGCCCATAGTGGCCACTGTACCTCAGATTTAGTTTTCTGGGCACCACACCTAGGTAAATGCTATACCAGGTAATGTTGCAGAAAAGACAGCACCACTTTTCATTACCCAGAGAGCATCTTTGTTCTCTTATCTCATGTTTTGAATGCATTTTCCTAGTAAATAAAACCATATTTACCTCCCTCACAGTTATGTCAAACGAACAGATATTAACGTAGCCATGTATAAGAAATATTCACTGGTACAGATTTTGTTTAATTTTGTTTGTCAACCTGTTCTCATCTACAGGTCCCTGCACTGCACCTTGGGTCCTATCACCTGCTAACAAGCTGACGCACGCATTGCATCAGAAGACTGTCTTTGCTAGCACAACCACCCATCACAAGTTGCAAACACTATGGGCTAGCCATTTGCCAGACTGAATTGACTCTATTCCAAAGCTAAGAAGTGTAATGCTATTATTAACTTATACAAATAGACATATGATACAAATATAATTTTCTTTAGAGATTTTAAACTATGGAAAATAGTTCCTGTGTGACTTGCTAACTTTCCAGATCCTCAGGGGTCCATGTTTTATGGGTGGAGAATTGCCAGAATAGATTATTCTACCAGTGGCATTATTATACTTACGTAACATACATTATTTTCATATTCAAAGTTCTATTACTCAAAAATGGCTTCATAATAGGTAACTCTTATGGTCATGAAAAGTGATAATATAAGAAGTATGGAAGAATATGGCAAAAATATCAAACCTGACACCTGGTGAGAGCAGAGCTGCAGCTCCTTTGGCAAATATGTCAGTGTGGGTGAGCTGTTAAGAATGAGGGTGGGGAGGAAACAAATTCTTAAAAAAAGATGTGCTGGTTAGATATTTCTGTTTGTGTGTAGACCATATGACACACTATAGGCACACCTATTATTCACATATTGTGGAGGCCTGCCAGCAGAACTTGCACACTCACAGTAGCTGAATTTTTGCCAACTGTGTCAAGAAAATTATCATATATTAATGAAAACCCCATAGATCATTGCCTTCAAAGTGGCCAAACGCCTGTCCCCATGTATTCCCATAAGAATGAGTCTATTCCCGATGTGAGGCATGTTCCGAGGGTCCTGCTCAAGCAGTTTTGACAGTTCAACAGTTCTGAACTGCTGCCAATCTTGCCATTCCAATCACGATTAAACCTATTTAGAATCCACTAACTGACATAGTCTCTTCATGGTTGGGGTTCTGAGATCAGCAGTTCAGTTGGAGGGATCTCCAAAAAAACTTCATCTCAGGTGATCTCAAACCTGATTCTTGTGTGAGTTTGCCAGTACAGGGTCCGGCACAGTCCGAGTCCCAATCAACTTATGCACATGCTGGTCTTTGCAATTGCTGGGTAAGTTCTGTTTCCAGCCCTGTCTTCCGCTTGAACCAATGGGTGTTGTAGTCCAGCTCGATCCTACCCACTTCATACTCGACTCTCACGTGAACCAGTGGAAGCTGCAGCCTAGTTGGGGTGACTCCCCATATCCCCCATCAGGCCTGCCCCCTACTCTATTTCCCATGCATGCCAGTTTGTACTACAGACTTGGGCCATCAGGGACCAAGGATGGGTGGGAGGCTGGGAGGGGCTTTTCCCTTTGTTTCTCCCTGACCCCAGATACAGGGAACAATTGATCATATTAGTGTGGAAATAATGGTCTTACCCACTTTCCTGTAGCCCTTGACCCTTTGTACCCTAATCAACTAAGTAAGATTATCAAATAAATAAATAAATAAATAAATAAATAATTAGTCTATTCATTAGTGGCCTATTACATATGAAAAAACTCTGATCTACTCAGTCCTTTGAGCCCCTGTTTTAACATAAGGACTTGTTTCAAAAAATGAGATGGAACAAAACAAAAAGATGAGGAAATAACCTGTAACCTGGAGAAAGAGAAGGTATCTAGTACCCAGGCAACTTCCTTATGGGATAATTGACAATGAGATAAGGACGAGGGTTTTTGCTGGACTTTAAACTGACTGCCTAACCTGTTACCTGTCTGTGGATGTCTGACACCTCCCCCAGAAGAAAGGGGAAAAGTATAGTGAAAAACAAAACAAAACAGCCACTCTAATGATGAAAAGGAGATTGGGTAGGAAACGCTTGATTCCAGGCAGGCGTGGTGTGTAGTCAGTTCTCCACACCTGTCCACTAATATGCAATTGTAGAATCAGGGATTGTTCCTTAGGAACTTGCTGATTTGTGCTATCTGAATTTTCTCTGGGCATTTCCTCTTGCATCTCTCAATATTAATTTTGAAATCAGGGGCATATTTCAGCTGTGCTAAAAGGAACCTTCACCTGACCCTTCCCCTTAAGCCCTCTGCTTATTCTGTATTGATATTTTATGAGAAAAGCTTAACAGTATTTGAAAGGGTCAGTTTTCATGATGACCCTAGAATACAAGAGAATGTTACGGGTCAGAAGAAACTTTGATGCTGCATTCCATAGGAACTACAGCTTGAGGAGACCCAGCTGCTTGACTTCTGATCCCGCTCCCTGCTAAAGCACCTGAGAAAACAGTAGAAGATGGTCTTGGTGCTTGGGGTCCTGCCCCCCTTGTGTGAGAGCTGGTTGGAGTTCCTGGCTGCTAGATTTGGGTTGATTCAGGCCCCATCATCACAGTCATTTGGAGAGTAAACCAGTGGATGGAAGATCTTTTGCTTTTTCTCTTTGTCTGGTTTTCTGTCTATCTTCCCTTTTCAGTTACTCTGTCATTCAAATAAATAAATATAAATAAACCTTTTTAGAAGAATTTTTTTCTCTTGATTGCTAGTCAAAAGAGTTCAGTATTTTCTGTGCAGGCAAACAGAAGCCAGTGTGCGGTTTAACTGGGGGAGTGGAGGAAGGTGGCAGTGCGACATGGGGTGGCAGAAGGAAACTAGTAAGAGTAAGGAATCCATTTTGAAAGTTACTGCTGTAATTGTCACTTTTAAAATTTATTTTTGTTTGAAAGCTAGCGAGAAGGAGAGAAAGAGATCTTGCATCTGCTGGTTCACTTTCCAAATGACTGCAGTCGCTGTGGCTGGCTGGGCCAGGCAGAAGCCAAGAGCCTTTAGTTCCCTCAAGGTCTCCCGCAAGGCGAGTCTTTGAGCCACCTTCTGCTGCTTTCCCAGACCTAAGCAGCATAGTAGGGAGCTGGATCATAAATGCAACCACTGGGACATGAACTGGCACCCATGAAAAATGTAGGCATAGCAGATGGCACCTTTAGCCACTATGCCACCATGCTGGCCTCAGTTAGTAACATTATTTTAGAGCAAGAGCGAGAATAAGGAAGTGAAAAGCAGAGCGAGAGAGTTCTCATCCAATGGTTCATTCCCCAAATGCTCACACAGCCAGAGGAGGGGAGGCCAGGGCCCAGGAGCTCAGGCCAGGCCTCTTAGGAGGATGGCAGCATGCTAGACACTTGAGCCATGGTCACTGCCTTCCGTTAGTAGGAAGTTGGAGTCAGCAGAGAGAGGAATCCAGGATCCGCACGTGGGGCAGGAGCATCTCAACTGCCCGTACATTTATCCTTTAATTCTATTTCCCAAAAGTGTTTTGAGGTGCTGCTGAAGGCATGTCTGTTTGATCTCAGCACCCCAGAGAACATCCTCACATACGCCTGGGGAACTCAGTGCCAGTGGCTCAGAATTCCAGCTGCATGCACACGCAAGACTGGACTTGGCCTTGCAGTGGGAACACAGCATTTTCTTAGCCTTAATCTCCACACGGCTCAGGTTTACTTGTCTCTCACAAAAGCAACGGCTAGGCTGACTGCCTGAGGAATTATTCCTCTGGATAGCTGAGTGTGCCCGTGAACACCCTTTTCAAAGAGAAGGGAGGGTGTGTAAGGCTCACGGTGCTGGACCGGTGAGCATTGGCTGGCCTAGTGATGCAGGCGGTTATGCCCTTGGGTGTCACGACTGGGTGAAGATAAGAGGGGCTTTTGTTGGGGTCGTTCACTCACCTGGAAAGGCTCAGCACTATCTCACGTACCTGGATTCTGGGAAGTCGAACAATCTGATTGCAGTTTATGATCTGGTAAATGATACACTCTAAGGGCTCATAAACATTAATCCAGGTACATGCTACAAAGCTGAGTCTGTGAAATAATGAGTAGAGACCTTCCTTCTCTTTGATTCTTCCATGGGCCCAGCTGTGTGTGGGTAAAGACGTGCCAGAAAGGAAAAAGCCTTCTCCTACCACTTTTCACAGTTGGAATTGCCCATTCGCTGCTCCGATGGAAAAGGTCTGAAAATGCCCAACCCACACGACAAAAACCCTGAAGCTACCTTTGAAGAAGCTTCTAGAATGTTCTCTAATTTAGTCCTCCCTCCAAATCCCTCCTCTTGATTCAGTGAAATAAGTAGACTCTCCCCAACTTATAATGGCCTGACATGAAATTTTGCCACCTTATGGTGGTGCAAAAGCGATACATTCAGCAGAACCTGTCCTTCAGCTTTTGGGAGTTGCTCTTTTCCGCAGCCAGCAAGAGCTCCTGATTCTGGGCAGTGGCAATGAGTCATAGCTCGGCCAGTCCCGGGACTCCAAGGGGAAGCACCCAGGCCCTGTAGAACACTGTGATGTTTGGCAAGTTAGGCTTTTTAACTAAATGGATTTCCCACTTAACAATATGTTCAATATGTGATGGGTTTATTAAGAAATAATTCTGTTGGGCCCAGTGCGACAGCTTAGTGACAAAATCCTTACCTTGCAAGCACCAATTCATGTTTCAGCTGCTCCACTTCTCACTCAGCTTGCTGCTTGTGGCCTGGGAGGGCAATCAAGGATGGCCCAAAGCCTTGGGACCCTGCACCCTTGTGGGAGACCTGGAAGAAGTTCCTAGCTCCTGGCTTTGGATCAGCTCAGCTCCAGCTGTTGTGACCACTTGTCGGGGGTAAATTAGTGGATGGAAGATTTTTCTCACTGTGGATCTTTCAGGTAAAACTAGATAATGTTAAAAAAATATATATGAAAGTACCTCTATCATCAGTGCTGGACCATTTATAGCGACTATGGAAATAGTAAGAGCTGCCACTTAGTGAAGACTTACTCTGTGCCAGTTTATTTTCATAAGCTCTTTAGTACTTGTCCATTACAGACCATGTTCAGTGATCTTTCACCTGAGACTTGGTCTATCCAAAGTCAAACAGCTAGAAAACAGGAACCAAGGTCTGCCTGTACCACTGTCTGTACTGACACTACTTCTTTGGGTTATTTTTGCATATTTACCCTGGAGAGAACATGCAGCCCTGCTATCCTGAATATTTCTAAAGAGAGGGAGCTGCTTCTTTCCAAAGAGCGTGTAGTTGTTGCCATTGGGAGAATGTGAGAAATTTCCCTGGGAGAATTTTGAGTGATCCTTTGTAGGTACTGTGTGAAATTCTTAATAAGCAAGAAGATGGAAGATAGCTAGGCAGTAATTTGATTTTTTTTTTTTTAGAAATTGAAAATTCATTAGAAAAACAAGCAAAGAATAATGAGGTACATATCCA